TTTTTCCTAATTAGATTTTGACATGTGTCAACCAGATCTTATTTATTTTTAAATATATATATGAAATATGTAAACGAGAAAATTGTCATTTAAATACCGAACTATCCGGTTTGAGCCAAAACAAATACCAAATTGTTAATGAGTCATAAAAATCACAAACTTGTGTTGACTCGACCAAATTATGTATACAATTAGTCAACTTTAATAGTTTTTTAAAAAACGTTAACTCTGTTTATTGTAACCGTTGAGTCTCAAAACAACGTCGTTTTGAGATTATGAAAATGGCCATTTAAATACCAAACTCTCCGTTTTGCGCCAAAACAAATATCAACTTTTTAATGAGTCATAAAATGCACAAATTTATGTTGACTTGACCAAATTATGTATAATATTAGTCAACAGTAGATCGGAGCCCAAATCCGGAGACATGGAGAGACGAGACCCTCCAAGGTTTTAGCATGAGTCCAACAACTTGTTAGGGTATGAGATCCCTGAAGACCGTAGTCTGAGTCTGAAAATCTAGGAGGGCATGAGATTGCGATAACCTAAGTCTAGAGACCTGACGAGTTAGTATGAGAACTCTCATAGAGACTTATGGCCTAAGTCAACCGACTTGTCCCCTCTGAGACTACTGAGAAGTTCTCATCATTTGTGGGGTAGAGTCGGAGGCGAACCTGCTCCTTAGGGCCTAGCTGCATTTGAGCGAGCTTGACCTTTCGGGAGACCAAGCCACTAATCCTGACAATTGTGATTCTCCTTTCTTTCTTATAAAAAAACTTGCTATCTCCTTCTTTTTTTATTATAAAAACCACATGATAAATTATGCAATTGTTAGTCGCATCCGAGATTATGTCTAACATCCCGTGAGTACTTTGAGGTAAAGTGAAAGGAAACTAACGACCCCAAAGATAGTGATTATGTTACTCACGCTACAATCTTGGAGGGTCTTGTCTTTCTATGTCTCCGAATTTGGACTCCGATATATAGTTGACTAATATTATACTTAATTTGACAAAGTCAACATAAGTTTGTATATTTTATGACTCATTAAGAAGTTAGTATTTGTTTTGGCGCAAAACGGAGAGTTTGATATTTAAATGGCCATTTTTCATAATCTCAAAACGATGTAGTTTTGAGACTGAACGCTTACAATAAACGGAGTTAACGTTTTTTTAAAAACTGTAAAAGGTGATTATTTGTATACCTAATTTGGCCGAGTCAACACAAGTTTGTAATTTTTATGACTCATTAATCAGTTGGTATTTGTTTTGACTCAAACCGGATAGTTTAGTATTTAAATGATAGTTAATTTGGGTTTTTTAACACGTGTTAAGGAAGAACAAAGAATTATGCCACAAGCGACTACACCCCTTCCGCTGAACGGGAACATGATGCTATCGTTGACAAGCAATCTCCACATCATGTTGGCTAATATGATACATTTGAAATTCCCGTAATGATAAACAAACAATGAACATAACTTTTTATCACTTATCAAAGCAATCATCTCTAACTTTTCGGTATCAATCACAAATTCACTTCTTCTTCTGCTCATTAACATTTCGGCCGGAAAAATGGTTGAGTTGGGATCGACATTTTTGTATAAAAAAAGACTAACCCAATTGGAATTACCTCATAATAAATGTACAGTAACTAACCAGAGATCATCAACGCGTAACTTTCAGGGCATGGATTAATGCTTCTCCTCCCCATGACGACATCAGGTGGCCTAACATGAGCTAAAGAATCCGTACTACTGCGAAAAGAGACCCTTACCCTACCGGATTTTGGTTTTCCATGACATCCTTACTTTTTAGAAAGGAAAGAATCGATTACAAGAATGATAACGAAGAATCAGATTCGTAACATGGGAATAGATAAATGTATGCAAAGGCAAAATACTAGCTTACGAAATGAAAGTTTCATGTTCACATTAACTATATTTAAATCTCATTCACTCTGGTTGCTACCCTTCACGCTTGTTACTCTCCTTTTTGCTTCTGCATGCTACCTTCTTCTCCTTTTCTCCTTTCTCCAACTGGTAAATAGAATATTTCATGTTATGCATACTAGGAACATATATGGAAAAAGTTTCTTCTTTCTAATTGCTAGTATTGGGATTATGCTTCATACACCCAATTCCCAAATAAGTAAGAGTTCCCCACCAAACCTAACTAATTTAGTACTTTGCGCCACCAGTCCTCCCTCGTAGTGAGTCTCTGTGTGGAATACCTCAGCCCAAGGTTCGTCATCCTCTAACCCTTCACACCCTCCCATTACTTAGATTTTCCCATCGTAGAAACATGAGGCAGCATACTCTTATTTAACATATGTAAAATAAATCTTATTTTTTTTTAATAAAAATTAGTTGATAAACACAGTTTAGTCTTAAAAATTTTAGTTTATTAAAATTTAATCAATATATTTGTGTAAAATATTGAAAAGTAAATCTAATTAAATAAGATTAGGAAAATTTTAACATAATTTAATTAGGGTTAGAAAATTTTCACTATTTAGAAATTAAAAATGAATAAATTTACCAT